TGAATTAGTTAATAATAATAATAATGACGATTAGACTTGAGTAGACCGTGGTAGACGGCTAGACTGCTAAACGGTGACATCTATTTAACACAGACTGTCAGCACACAACAACCAAGACTTCGTGTCCAATGTCGAGTCGAGTCGAGTGCAACAAACGGAATACATTACATGTATCGAACCGAACCAAGCACTGTCTTGCTGCAAATGTTTTCTGACACCGACATGTTCTGACACTGTCCTTCTTCTTGTCGCGAAAGGGAACGAAGAGGAGACTGGGGCGACGGCGGTATAATCTGTGTCTCAAGCTCGGCAATCAGCATCGCCTCTTCCGTCTCATCCATTGGCTCCGGCACTGTCGGCTGTGGCGACGACGCCGCAGACATTGTTGGCGGCGGTGGTGGATGTGCAGTCGATGCCGATGCCGCTGCACTGTCCCGACTGGGAGACAGTTTCTGTCTCTTTTCACTGAAATCGTTGTCATCTGCTTTGAAAGCAGACCTCCAATAATCTGTCAGAGGCTGAACCACTTTGTCCGGAGTGGATGCCGGAGGTGTCACCAAAGTCACGCTCCGCAACTCGCCAGTGGCGGGGTCTGGTCGCCGAACCTGAGTCATGCGGCTAGTGTCGGCGCCTGACCCTGGATTCGCGGCCTTTGCTTTCGCAGTCTGCTTCGCTTTGGGTCTGGCCGCCGGTAGCTTCGCTTTGGCTTTGGCGACACTAGCATTTTTCTTCGGGGCCATTGCAAAGCCAACAGCCAACTGAAGAACTCTTCAGAAGAATCTTGAACAACATGGAGAATGCAAGACAATGTCGGGGTCGAGTCAAGCTGACGGCTCTGTCCGGCTGCAGTGACACATGCATGTCATGGTCATGGTACTGATTCTGATACTGACTGTGAACTGCGACCAACGTCACGTTGTAAAAACATGAACAGCATGACGACAGCATGTATGCGAACTTGCCCTGGTCCGGAACGCGCCTTAAGCCTGAAGTCGCGGGATGTACAGTTGCGCAAGTTGTGCTGTCACACTGCCACAATTGAACCAAGCGAACGCTTGAGACACTCAGGACAACAAACACAGCTTGTCACATGCAGCACATGCCGCCACCAACGCCTCGAGAATCGAACTACAGCAATTTTAGCCCTTCATGTTCGCTGAATCTGTTCTAACGGTCGACATGCTCGAATTGTTGTTGCAAACTGCGACATTTCTTGTCAATTGAAAAGCTCCACAAGGAATGGGCTGCTATGCTTTGACATCCAGCTGTCCTGGTGCACCCCAGTTCGCCAATGCTGCCCCAGCAAGCTCAACCGGAAAGCACAGCGTATAGAGTATAGAGTATAGAGCATAGTGTATAGAGTATAAATAGAGTACATATCTTAACCGCGACAAACTACAAAATTCGATTGGCTCACATTGTCACAAGGCTAATAAGGCTGATGCAACTAAGTTCAATCACGCGGTGGGCATGGATACAAACGGACACTGGATTTGATATTGTTGGTCCTATTGGTACTGATACTGTACAGGTCAACTCAGTTGACCAACATGGCATCAGATATCATTGATGCCATACAATGTTTTTTGGATTCTGTGTGTGCATCAAACAACCGCCCTTTGGCCCCACAGACAATTAGACAACAACTGTAATACGTTAAAAGACTATGAATATGATTCGCTTTAGGTGTTGAATAAACGCTATATGCATAATATAAGTCAGGGCCTGACATGTTAGCTCAGCTCTATATTGATTGATACATCGAAGTGATAATCAGTTCGTCCACACACATGAGCACCGCAAAATGTATTGCGGCTTCGAATTTGTCACTTAACTAACGCTGCAGCATTGCCACATTGCAATGTAATCATCCAAATCAGCTCAACATGCAAAATGCATGCTGTCATAATGACAGTGAGAGAGCATGTCAAATTCGGTGCTGTGCCTCACTGTGCTGTGTTGGCCAAGTTGGCCTCTGACTTTGCATCGGGCTGAACGATCTTGAACACAAGGGCTTGCAGTGCTGCAGGAACATCCAATTTGTGTTCCTTCGCTGTACTGAGAGCATCCCTCAGCGAAGTGATGGCTTTCCCCTGTGGCTTTGTCTTGGTGAGCAAAGCCCTGGTCACGGCCTTGCTGCACAAAGAGTAGAGCATGTTGCCGATCACCAACCAACTCAAAGCACCTCGGTAGCAAGCCTCATGGTGTGCGATGTTGGGCACCATGTCCTCAACCTTCACGCCTAGCGCAGACGCAATCCGGCTGGCCTCCGCAATGGCTTTCTCGAGCTTGGTTGCTCGCTCAGAGACTTGACCTGACTTGTCCATGGGGAAATGAGTCTCCATCACGGCCGTCTTGTCAATGTCGGAATGGGACTCGATGTTGGCGATGCTGTCGTGGATTGCCACATCATGTTCCTTTATTGCCGCACCGTCGAGGTTATCCTTGATGACCGCCGACAGCGTTGTGAACTCTTTGTCTTTCAATGATTCCATAGTCTTCGCTGACTCGGTCAAGACACTTAGATCCTCATCCGCAAATGATGCGGCGAGGGTTCTCAGCTTGGCCCAAGCTGCCGAGTAGTCCAAGTCCACAAGTTGGATGCAGGATGTGATGAAGTCAATGACGAGCTCCTGGTCGATCGCTGGCTTGGTGTCTCGATCGCTGGCAGCCACACTGCTTGTTAGGCACTTGAAAAGCAATGCCATTGCCTCGGTACCGTTCCTAACGGTGTCTCCTTCCTCACCCAAGACCGTTGATGCTAGCTTGGCTGCTTCGACCTTCTCAAAGAAAGCTGTTGTTTCCTCGGTGGTCGGAGTCTGCCCTTTGGGGCATGACTTCACTGTTGTCACCAGAGTTTTGATGATCTCTTCGATGTTCGACATGACTTTGTCTCTCACATGGCCTCCCAATGAGACATCGATCGCTTTGCCCACATTGTCACACGATGAAGCCACCGTCGCCACGATCAGTGCCATCTTCTTAGCACACTCGGTGTCTTCCAGATTGGAAGCTGCGGCTGCAACCTTGGTCACGTAGGCATCAAGTGCCTTGTTGAAAATCCATGATTTAACCTTCCACTGTTGTGACAAAGATGATGCTTCACCCTCTGGAAGTGAGTGCCCGCTGCACTTCTCAGCCAAACTTGATGTGAACTCGCTCAATTCCTTCAGCCGGTCCAACACTGACCCCTCGCCGTGACTACAGTACTGACTCAGATCGTCAGCAAGCTGCATGATGCAACAGCTCGGCGGCAGCATTGTTGATGGACAGGCCTCCTTTGCCGTAAGACATCGTTGAAGCTGATCAAGATATGGCAGCAACTCATGATTCATGCAGCCAAACAGAATTGCTAGAACCGCTTGTTTAGCTGTCTTCTGAACACGCAGTAGCTTGTCCCGATCGGCACCTCGAACACCTTTGGTATTCTTGTCGTACAGTTTCCGGAGGAGCGTCATAACTGCTGTGCCATGCTCTGCATTGAAAGCTGCCTTCAATGATACCAACGACGCCTGAGATTCAGACTGAGAATGAGGCTGAGGCGGTGACTCTAGACTTCAGTTAACTTCAATAGCGATATTAGTACTATGCAGGAATGCAAGCAATGCAAGACACGAGGCTGACTCAAGGGTACATAAGGAGCATGAGGTCAAATAATGTTCCGACGCATCCAACATCTCGAGAACCTCCGCCACGGACTCCTTGGTCTTCGAGTTCAATAGAGCTGCTTCAAGAATTTTTTTCCCTTGTCCAAGCTCAAATTGCCCTGCTGCCCAATGGTTTTCAGCATTCTGCTTGATGTCGTCTATGGCTGATTGGACTGCACCTGGCGATGAGCTAAAGTCCAGGACCGCTTTGACCGAGTTCAGCATGCGAGTATGATCGTCGTTCGACCAGCCCCTCTGCAGAGTTTTCGACCCATGCTGCGACTCGGACATAACATCTGCGAACGACTTCACAACAGCGAGGGACTCCTGTGTCACACCCTTGCTGATGGGAACGGCTTTGATTAGGCGTTGCAAAAGCTGCGAAGTCAGCAGACAGAAGAAAGTAGATTCTGCGCCAGACTCTGACGAGGAGCTCGTTCCCGATAAATGCTGAATGCAAAGTGACCATGTCTCAACGAAAAACTCCTTCCAACCCTTTGTCTTCAAATTGTCGAACGCCATTGCCCTCAGCGCTCGCATCCACACGGGAGGTGAGGTCTTCACGCTAAGCTCGTCACAAAGCTTCGACAGCCCTTCATAGACATGCCTCCCCTCGGGACAGCCTGATGATATCTTTTTCACCAAATCGGACACCTGGCTCAACTTGTTCATGAAGTCATCAAGCGCCTCGCCCAACTCGTCAGACGTCTGCGAGCTCCGCCGCTTCAGTGACTTCTTCTTGCTGTACATCTGGCCTCTGACATCATGGATCACCTTCAGCTTGTCCTTGCCCCATTGAGCAAAAGCTTGCTCATCAGTAGACACCGCATCATTCAGGACGAGGCATGAATTAAACAATGTCTGGAACTTCTCTATAAGCTCAATGTCGCCGGCATCAGTGGTTGAGGTCGGCTCGGTTCGCCTCTTCTTAGCTGTCGCGGCCGCGTCAGTTGTATCCGATGGCTGTGTCGTCCGCTTGTTGCGTCCCTTCCCCACAGTCGGCTTTTCCAGGCCCTCCTTCAGCGTCGATGGTCTGAGTCTAGGCTTAGGCTTAGACTTAGATGTGCTTAAGTCAAAAGCTACCCCTTAGAAACCCTCGTCACCGGCTTACCTTCTCATGTGGCTTCGAGTTCTTGGCAATTTTCTTTGGCGCCACAGCTGAAGAGCGCTTGGCCTGAGACTGAGCCGCGAGACGCCCAAACAGGGAGGCGAAGGGCTGGAACTCATCGTCTTCATCCTCGTCATTGTCACCCGCCTGATAAATTCACCAAAAGAGTTTAAACAGTGATTGAATGAAAAGCTTCAGATGGCACACACACAGAGAGACCTACCGTACAATAATGCCTCTTCTCCCGTAGCAGCCGCAGCACCACCGAACAGCTCGCTGGCAAGTCCTGCAGTAGACGCCGACGCCGATGAAGAGTTCATCGAGCCCGAATCGATGACAACACAATTGGTGTCATCTTTCGGTGCTGTGTTCAGGTGACGAGCCGCAGAGGAGAAGATCACCTCTGATTGGTTCGCGGACACAACGAGGTCTGAGTCTTATAGCGTTGTTTGCCGTTGCACCGCGCATGATGTCTCATCAATGTATGTGTAGATGCCCTGCTGGGACTCATCTACCACGTCGACACCTTTGACATCCTGGCCCTTGATGCGCATGATTTTGATTTGTGCAGGGTCTGGCGCACCATAGCGTTTCTCAAATGCAGAAAGCACCATGAATTGCTTCTTTGGCGCTTGCAATCCCTGCTTATGTTCCTCGGACACAACAACCTGTTCAGGATTCTTTAAAAGATTGTTCTTCCCCAGCCGCATCGCAGGATTAACAGCCTTCTGCTCCACCAGATTGTCCTTCTGCCCTAGGAACTCGTGGTTGGCACAAGGGTCGCTGTCGAGCACCTTGTCGACAGCTGTCATGCTGCCATGCTTCAGAATCCAGCCGCCCACATCGGCCACCTGCCAACAGCCAAACCCCACACCACAGGCAGTGTACCAGAATTAGCGAGACATGCCCCTGACCGATGACCGATGAGCGTACCAAAATTAGGAGAGCATTTCCCGGACCGTACCGTACCGGCTGTACCAACCGT